CCTCATTAACAAAACAGAGCCATAGTCTTCCAAATAAGCAGAGAAACATTCAGTCCAGTTCCCTGCTGATCCAGGATGGGCAGCGTTCCTCTGAAGGGCAGAACTTTTAGCCCATTTCTCATTTAGCCACTGTGTGACCCCTGCCAGGTGGAGTGGCCTTTCCCAAACATCCTTCTTTAAGATGCAACACTAGTAAGTTCAATCATCAGAGAGCGTAAATCCTGCCTCCAGTAGTTCCTTGTAAAGTCATGGTGCACGTTAGCATCTTAAAGGCAAAGGAATGCCCTATAATAAAAACATCAAGTAAAATAACCCCCCAGCATTTCATGTCGATTTGTACTTTTTTAAAGTAACATTAACATACTTTGGGAAACACTGTTCTAGGCCAAAGTCCGCTTTGCTGTGTGAGGAGTGTGTGTACTTGTGTGTAGGTGGCTTGTAACCTTTCCCCGCCATTTGCCACAGCACATGAGGGACTCTGACACCTCTAGGCTTGCTCAGCTCCTCCCTGGGATGAGAAGCCTCTCACTGCTATTCTGCCTTCCCCTCCAGCACCTGGAGGCCCAGAGCTCAGGTAGGCGGGAGGCTGCAAATCAGAGCTGACTAGCTTGCTTCCTGGCATGGCCCCCAGCTGGCTGTGCAGCTGTCTGTCACAGTAGAACCCTCCCCAAAACTCCAGAGTAGAGGGGCCTGGTGACTCTCAGCTCCAGAGGCTCAGCAGATGCCAGGCCTGGAACCAAGTCGCCATCTCTGAGGGCTTGGCTTGCTGTTCTGGAAGGTGATTCTGGCTGGCGGCCATTCTGAGTCCCTATTTAGAGCAATTGTCAGGCGGTTGCTGAGTTCCAGCTTCCCTTCCACACCCCTGACCCCCCAGCAAGGCTGAGTGATCTCATGCCCATGCTATGATGTAGCAGGGGTCAGGGGGAGATGGGTTACCGTCAGGGCAGGTGCCCAGATCGGGGAGCAGGTTTGAGACTAGGGCAGTGTGCAGAGCTCTGTCCCCACTCGGGTTCCCAGACGCCAGTGTGGAGTTTGCTCTCAGAGGCGCATCCTAACCACCTGGAACAGCTTAGGACATTGTCTGAGGTCTGCCTGCTGGGCCTGTGCATGCAGCAGTGTCCCCCAAAAAGGGAAAGAGAGCAGGGTGAAGGAATGCTTGCTGATGGGCTGCTGTCAGAGCTCCTCTTCTCATCGCCCTGCATTCCCACACAGCGCTGTTCTCTCACCCCAACTGAGTGAAGCCCTTAGCACCAGAGCTGGCTTTGGCTAAAGAAAAGAACACTGAACTGGAGCCCAGAGACCCCTGCACCTTGGGCTGCAGGACTGCAGCTTATGAACTAAGGTTCTTTCCTGCCCCGAAGTCCCTGAGTTCTAAGCTGCTTCTGCCACGTCCCAGGTCCTGTTGAAGCAGGATGCTGGGAGCCCCCTGCTGGCGCATCCAGGGAACTGACCCCTGATGGGGTTGAGCTACGTGATGAGGGGGGACCTTTGCTGGCCCCACATGAGAGCAGTGACCCTTACCCACCCCATCCCCCGGTACTGGCCAGCCCAGTTCTCTCCCTCCCTTGGGGCCTGGCCCCATTTTAGCAGTGAATCCTGAACTCAGTGGAATCTGGCTGCTGGCCTCTTGACTTTCCCTTGGCCTTCCTGTTCCCGCGCTCCACTGAGGACCCACCTCCGTTTGCACCTTGCCCCTCCCAGCCACACAGGGCTTGACCACCACTGTGCCCCAGGCCCCACTTCTGCTTTCTCAGGCTCACACATTTGCGCATTCTCCCTACCCCGCCCGCTCCGCCCCACCCACCACCTGCTGGTATAAGAAGGATTTTAAGGACAGGTTGTGGGGAAATGGTCCCCTACAGCTATCCTAGAACACTAATGAGCTGTGGCAGCCCCAGAGAATCGGGGCTTATTGCTGCGCCACTTCTGTTTGGTGACATGGGCTGTTCTCTGGGATGAATGCTCAGTATCACCTCACTGTCCCAGAGAGATCCACAGGCTGCCCTCTTAACTCTCACCCCCTGTTGTGAGGACGGGGCTGAGACACTCAGGGAAATGGAGCTCCTAGAGGCACCAAGCGACCTGTCCAAGGTCCGTCTCTGTATCCAAAGTCCAAAGCTTCACCAGACTTTCTTTTTAGGGTGAACCTAAAACACCAGTCTCAGGCGACTCATGGGAATGTGTTGGGGGCCAGGGAGGACAAGTAGTGGGGTCACTGGAGAAGCAGCTTGACTGGGGTTTGTTGTCACTGCCTGGGGCTCTGGCATCGGCCCACCCTCCCTGTCCCTCTCCTCACATTCTCATCCTTACCTAAGACCATGAGAGGCCAGTGGAGAACCCCTGCAGGAACTGGAGCAGGAGCACGCCTCTGCCTGGGGAGGCTCCCAAGGATTCAGTTCCTTTGACCTGTGGGGGAGTGGCAGGGGCAAGCCGGAGCCATCCCAGCCCATCCTGCTCCTTTCCCTGGCCCTGCGCGTTCTAGCCTGCAGCCTGACCGCAACCCTGCTGTGGGGCCATGCTTCCCCCTGCTGGCCACACTGGCAAAACACAGCCCAGGGTAAGCCCCAAGGTTACAGGTGTTCCCTCTTCACCCAAGCCTGTGGCTAGGCTGGAGACTGTGTGCTCCCTGCCCACCAGGAATCTCAGACTGCATGGGCAGACGAGTCTAGAACTGCCTGGTGCTCAGCAGTGCTTGTTGACTGAACAAATGAATGAATGTATGCATCTCAAGCATTTAGGTGACCATGGCCTGCGGTGTCTGACCAAGAGCAGACAGTACATCAAATTAGACATTTATCGAGCAGAAACTGAGACTCCTCTTGGGCTGACAAGATCTAAATATGAAAACCAAATGTGCAAAGTCAAACAGTGCTAGACTGTGATGCAGGTGACCCTAGAGCAGCCTGGCTCTTGTTCCCAAGTGGCTGGTCCGGCAGTAAGTGCCCAGGGGAGTTGGAGAGGGCTTTCAGGGAAGACTTGGGAAGGGCAAGAAAGGGGAGATAAATAGCAGGGATGAAAAACACAGGGCACCTTAGGGAGTCCCTAGGCTGGCCATTTGGCATGGAACGTTGGGGAGAGAGGCAAGTACCTCCTGCGGCTTGAGGCGAGGACATGCCGGGCACAGTGTCTGCCCTGGAAGCACATATGATTCCTGTCGATCTTCACAAGCACCCTGTGAAGCAGGTGCTGTTATTATCCCTATTCTACGCTTGAGAAGAAGGAGGATTAGAAAAGGTCCACGACTTGTTCAGGGTCCTGCAGCCAGAACATGGTGGAGCCAGGATTCAGACCTCCTCTTAGGCGATGTGGTAGTCAGGTTCAGGAAGTGATCTGCACAAGGACGGATTGGGGGCTCGGAGGCAGGATGGCCACTGAAAAGGCTGTTAGTGTAACCCAGTGGGAAGTGAAGGAACTCCTCATTCTACACACTGGGTTTCCCGCATGGTAGGAGGGCCAGCTGAGGCCTGACCCTGGCAGTCCTGTGCCCATGGTGTATCCCTGCCCCATGGTAGGCCAGCCCAAAGCAGTCCCCACAGAGGAGGGGCTAGGAGTGCTGGACTCAGGTCAGCCTGCTCCCCGGGCCCAGGGCTGGCTCCAGTCCGGAATGGGGTTGGCTTGGCCTGCTGGGGCATTTCCGCAGCCCTTCGTCCTTGTAGAGAGGGCTTCTGGGGGAGACAGATATGCTGTCGGGGCAGTTGGCAGACCGGAGCCACACCTCTGCTGCAACAGGCCCCATCTTGGGGGAGGAGAGGCTCTGCGTGCTCATGCTCTCTCTCCCCATCACTGGCTGCTTTTCTTTCCAAGAGCTTGGCAAGATGACGAAGTGACAAGGCTAAACCTGCAGCACTGCCCATACCTCCAGGAAGGGGAAGTTCATCTCAGGCTGCCAGCTGCTGCTAGGCTTGCCAGGGCTTCCTCCCTGACCTGTCTCCGTGGGAAAAGCATGGCCTTAACATGTAGCCTGTGGGTTCAGATTAAAGGCGAGGGACAGTCTCCCCTAAGCTGGACAAGGCTTTCCCCACACAGGGCACCCTGGCCACGAGGGCACCAGGACACACCCAAGCCCCCTTCCTGGAGGCTTCAGCTCTTGTGCATGTGTGTGATCCACTTGTCTTCCCATGGAGCCCCAGGTGGGGGTAACAGAAAGTGGGCCTCCTGCCCTAGACAGGGAAGGTGGGGGTGCCGACCTCAGGGCTGTGTGATCCAGCTTCCCACTTTTTCTGACTCCTCGGTCCTGGCACACTTCCTCCATCGCTGTCAGTCCCTGCCCCTCCCCAAGGGCCCTTGGTGTCTTTTCGTTTGGAGCCTTACCCATTTGTACTTATTGTTGATTCTAATTACACTCAAGTGAAGCAAAACTAGAGTGCTAACTCATGAGATTGGCTCTCTGGGGTTTGAACACCCCAATAGCACGTTTGCCTCATTTGCCTCGTTTCAGAATGCGTGATTTCCGTCTTACTGTCTCTGACTCTCCTGTTCATCCTCAGAAGCCTTCATCTTCCCAGGGGGAGAAGCGAGCCCAGCACTCCTGGGAACAGGGAGCCCTGGTCTGCTCACCACTCCCCCGCTCCGCACGGAGCCCTCCATGTTCCCATGGCAAGCCCAGGCCCAGTGTTTTGTTATAGCTGGGGATGCCGCTGAGTGTTCTGGGAGGCAGTCATTCAGCAGAGATCTTTACTGAGGACCTTCTCTGGGTCAGGCGGGGTGCTAAGCACTGGCCTACAACGAGATCAAGACAGACCCCTCCTCTCGCTCCAGGAGCCCCCATCTAGCGGGAGAGACAGTGCACAAGCTAACACATCAGAAGAAGAGAGTCGCACAGACTGACTGGTGCAGTCAAGGCCATGAGCAGGGGGTGAGCAAGAAAGCAACTTAGAGCAATGAAGTAGATCAGATGGCCGGGAGGGCATCTTTAGGCTGAGACTGAAGGGTACGAGAGCCAGCCTGGGAAAGAATGGACAGCAACGTCCCCTGACCCTGGGCGATCTCCCCCTCTGCAGGCTCGTGGAGGAGTTCATGCTCTTGGCCAACATGGCAGTGGCCCACAAGATCCACCGCGCCTTCCCCGAGCGGGCCCTGCTGCGCCGGCACCCTCCACCCCAGACCAAAATGCTCAATGACTTGGTGGAATTCTGTGACCAAATGGGGCTGTCCATGGACTTCAGCTCTGCCGGGGCCCTCAATGTGAGTGCTGGGCGGGATGGGCGGGCAAGGGGAGGCCCTGCTTAGGGAAAGAGGAGGAAGGCCTGGAAGCTGGGAGTACGGCGGCCTCCATGTCCCACGAGGGTCTGTTCCCCTTCACACGGGTCTCCCGCAGGGGAAGAAGGAGGCCCTGGGGAGGAGGCCTCCAAGTCACAGAGACCCTGACCGTGGGTTGCGCTCCCCCCCAGGACCGAGCTGAAGGAGACCACTGGAGTCTCAGCTGTGGGCAGGGATTCTGTGGCCCAGGATGGGCTGGGCATGGGCCCAGAGGCTTTCCAGTAGGAGGCTGGGATTATTGGAAGCCAGGGAATGTTTTTTATGGTAAGTGGTGTCACATGCTCCCTGCCTGCAGAACTAAGCCTCACAGGGCTCAGGAACCCGTGGGCTCGGCTCTGATCCCACAGGTGAGAGACTGCTCTCATCTGTGCTCCAAGCCTGGGGTGGCCAGAGAAGTGCCTTAGGTCAGATAGCTGGAAACCAGTCTGTCCAGGCCAGCAGCTAGACACAGAAGGACTGACCTCAGAGCCAGGGCTCTTGAGGCAGACCCAGTGTGGGACACAGGCTGAGGGCTGCTTCCCCCTGCACCCTTCCTATGGTCATGTGAGCAGGGCTGGGCCCCTGAGCTGACTCTTCCTCCCCAGAGCCAAGTCTCAGATGGTCAGCAGGTAATGAGACCCCAGAGCCTCTCCCCAAGCCTGACTGCATGTCACATGGGTTTGCCTCTAGAAAAGTCTGACCGAAACATTTGGAGATGACAAGTACTCACTGGCCCGGAAGGAGGTGCTCACCAACATGTGCTCCCGGCCCATGCAGGTAAGGAAGGGCCGAGTCCCTGTTCTCTCCCTTCTCCCAGGAGCACCCATGACCTCCTTGGTGGGCACAGAGGACCTAAGGGGAGGAGTGGGGAGAATGCCCCCAGGCAACACCTAGGACAGGTGGAGCCCAGGCTCCTGAGCCTGATCTGCGTCCTGCTCAGACTTGTCTGGCTCACCTTTTCAAGGACACCGTTGTCTGCAACCATTAGAGGGCCCAGTTTAAGCCCCACTGCCCTGCTCCATGGCCTCGGGGGCTCTATTTACCTGCAGAAAGCAGGGAGCCACCACAGGGCATGCCCCAAGCCTTCAGTGCTCAGTCTCCACAGACCGGCTTGGGAAAGGGGATGGCGGCTGGTCAGCAATTTGTGGTCAGGTGGGAACTCCGGAGGGAAGAAAGCATCTGTCTTCTGTAGCAGCCTGCCCAGGGGAGCAGTCGTCAGCCCTCTGAGGCCGAGTTTCAGCCCCTGTAGACCTGAGCATCTCAGGAAGGAGCCACCCCAGCAGACTGTCAGGTCAGCAGGAGCTACAGGTGCTAACAGGGCCAGCTCTGGGCCCCAGCCCGGCCAGAGGGCAGTGGCAGACCATTTTTCATGGGCTCAGTCACTCGGCAGATTCAATCTGTTCAAAAGAACCAGATTGCCTCAGCTAGCCACAGCTGATTTATTTTCTAACACCTCATAGCTCTGCCAGGAATGGAGCCATCAGGGCCCATTTGGGTCTGGCTGCCCTTACCCTGCACCCAGTCACAAGTGTCTGCCCCACACCAAGCACCTTGAAGCCCCCACACAGAGAGGGGCTGTGCCCATGGTGACCCACCGCTTTGCCCTCCAAGTGCTCTGAGACACAGCAGCCCCTGGGTCCCAAGAACTGCCTCCTGTCCTCCTTGACCAAGGTCACACCAGCTTTGGTGCTCCATGGAAAAGAGCCCTCTCCTGAGTCACCCAGAGCCTGAAAAAGACTGGCCTTCTCCTGGCCTTGCCTGCCGGTGACCTCAGGGGTCAGCCTTAGCCTAGGGATCTGATGGCAGAGGGTGACCAGTGTGTCTGTGCTGCCCCTGTTCTCCCAGCCTCAAGAACTGGGGCAGGGATGGAGGACCAGGCAGGGGCAGCAACAAGGAGCATGAAAGTCCTACGTGAGCTGCTGAAATAGGACTCCAGGGCCGTCCCAGGGATTGCTGGTCACTATGGGAAAGGCACAGTCCCCACCCATCCCACCCTGCCCAGAGATACCTTCGCCAGCCAGATGTGTCTCGGAGTGGAGGGTTCCCCCACCTCCCCCAGCGACTTGCCCCAGCCATAACCCAGGGCCCAGCAGGAGCTGGACGGGAAGCGGAGTCAGGGAGCCGAGCACGTTCCAGGGCCGACGTACACAGAGTAATAAGAGCTGACTGTCCATTTGGCCGAGTGCACAGGAGGGTGTAAGGATGTGAGAGTGTGAGCAAGCAGCTAGGAGCAAATTAGTGAGCACACAAGGGTGTGACTTTGGCTCTTGTTGAGGAACATGTTCACGTGCTCCCAGGCAGCAGCAGCAGTGTCCTTGATTCCCATCCCTTAGGGACCACAAGGCAAGCAGCTTCCAGGAGTATAGGACCATTCTGGCCTGGAGCTATTTGCTGGGCCTCTATGGAAACTTGGTGTCTCTTCCTATGCCCCAGTCATAACTCCTGCCCTGCAGAAGCGTCTTTTGAACTCAGATCTCTGGGTCTTGGCCCCAGGACTGGTTGAGGGACAAGAAGGACTGAGCCTGGCAGGCTGGCAAACCTCTACCTCCCTTGGCTGGTGCAAGGTGAAATATTGGGGACACAGAGGTTCCAAGGTGCAAGGATGGCCTTCAGTGGGGCAGGGATTGGGGCCAGAGGGCGTGAGGTTGGCCACGACCAAAGACTGGGCCTTCTCTCCTCCCTCCCATTCTGGCCAGGTGGTGGTGTTGGACTCAGTGTGCTCGCAAAGTCCTATAGTCTCCTTAGCTTTTGCTTGTGCCTCCACAGAATGACATTTGCAGCCACTGCCCCAGCATGACCATGGCCTTCCTCTCCTCTCCATTCTAGAGTAGCTGCCCCAGCCCCGTCCCAGGGAGGGGTCGACCAGAAATAGTTCCCTCCCCCTTGTTCCTGGCAGTAATAGCCCCTAAAACTCTGTAGCAACAGGCCGTGGGGGAGGGTGAGCTCCTCCCCAGCTGCTTTGGACTTCAGCACACGGCCTGCCCCTCCCCAGCGGCCTGGGTGGCTGGTCCCGTAGGACTCTGAGGGAGGAGGCCATTCCAACATTCTGAGGGTTTCCAGCAACCCCCTGTCCTCTCCATAGGCAGGGTGGGCCCCTGTAAGACTGTCTGGCCTGTTCTCAGTGCTGCAACCATAGGGGAGTCTGGGTAACCCGGGCATGGCCTTCCTTTTGCCTTCATCAGCAGAGGGGCATGGGCAACCCGTGGCTCTGCTCAGCCTTGAGGCAGCCCTATGGGTCCCCTTACACAGAATGGCCCCTGGTAGACTCAGGCCTGCCAGACTTTGCTGGCTGTCTGTGGCATGGTGGGTCAGCCCACACCAGGACTGCCCACCACAAGGCTCTGAGTCCCACAGCCTGGCAGAGCATTCCCAGCTCCCTCCCGCACCCCCCGCAGATGGCGCTGTACTTCTGCTCTGGGATGCTGCAGGACCAGGCGCAGTTCCGCCACTACGCCCTCAACGTACCGCTCTATACGCACTTCACCTCTCCCATCCGCCGTTTCGCCGACGTCCTGGTGCACCGTCTCCTGGCTGCCACACTCGGTAAGGGGCGCAGCCTGAGCCAGTGCAGGCCTGTGCCCAGCTAAGGGCTGCCCGCCCCCAGACTGGGTGCCCAGAGGCCAGAGGCCACACTGCTGTGACTGTGGAGGCCCCCAGGGGTGGGCAACCCAGGCAGCAGGGGAGTCTGGCCCCAGAAACTCTCCCTCTGTGAGCGTGTGCTGAGGAAGATGCAATAGGGCTCATTAAAAGCCCTACATAGCCCAGGTTCGAGGGCCCTACCCACAGCCGGTCCGCCTTTCTCAGCCCTCCAGAGCTGGCTAGCAGGGAGGACTTAGCTCCACTGGGCCTCCCGTGCCTCACCTTGTCTGGGCCAGGGGCACCATGCTGCCTATCACCCAGCCATGACTCGGGTAGACAGAGCACCCCACCAGCGGCCCATCAACCACCCTCTTCCCAGGCTACAGGGAGGTACCCAATGTGGAGCCTGATGCCCTGCAGAAGCAGGCTGACCACTGTAATGACCGCCGCATGGCGTCCAAGCGTGTGCAGGAGCTCAGCACCAGCCTCTTCTTTTCCGTCCTGGTCAAGGTGAGGCCACCAGCCTGGCGCCCCACCCCCTCCCTCTGCCCAACCTCCCCTCCTGGGCACCTGCTCCCCAGGAGCCCTTGAAGAGCCCTGGGGCCTTCAGCAGCCGGGGTGGGCACTGGAAGGGGACACACACCTGTGGGTGAGTCTTGGCTGGAGCCCTACCATGCAGGAGAGTGGCCCCCTGGAGTCGGAAGCCATGGTGCTGGGCGTCCTGAACCAAGCCTTCGACGTGCTGGTGCTACGCTACGGGGTGCAGAAGCGTGTCTACTGTAACGTGAGTACCTGGAGCCACCCCAGCCAGGGTTAGAGACCTTCTCACCAGGCAAAGGCCAGCTACAGGGTGCGGAAGCATGTCTTCTGTGATGCGAGAGCCTGGGGACCAGCAGGCTTCTGTGCCCTCCCCCCCAACAGTCACACCAAGCTGCATCCACTTAGCACATACTATTTTTAACCTGCCTGTCCCCGTTCCCTCTGCTGGGGGCTCCTCTGTATCTCCCTAGCATCTGGTAGGGTCCTGGACCAGGACAGCCCTTGGTAGACACACAAGCATAGAGGATGGGAGCACAGGCCCAGGACCCTGCTGTGCCGTCCACACTAGGGAGTACAAGCTATAGTGGTGACACTGTGCCCATCGCTGAGCTGTGAGCCATACTGGGCACACCGTGGGAGAGGGAACAGAGCCCCTGACCTTGCTTCCCTTACACACCCAGCACCAAGCCCACCCAATAGGCCCTGCTAAGACACCCCACTGCACCTGCCTGGGATGTCAGATCCAGGCCAAGGATCTGGCATGAGCCTCTTCCCTAAGGACCCTGGCAGCCAGAGAACAGGTCCCTTCATAACCAGTACAGAATGGCAGGGTGTGCAGGCTTCAGATTGTTTTATAGGAACAGGAGGGAAGGAAAGACTGGGGAGAATGGTCCATGGCCACCTGGAGGCTGCATCCCCCGAAGAGAAGGAGGAGACCAGTGCTTGTCTTGAGTCCTGCCCCGGGTGGCTGTTCATTCAAAGTTCTTTCCAAGGCCAGGCTTATGCCACCTGAGGGACCTGTTTGAGCTGACCTTGTGGTTAGCAGGTCACCACCTGGCCCCTGACCCTGGCTTTGAATTTCCCAACATCCAAAACACTTTGGGGAGCGCAGAGCCCAGCACAGAGGGTGGTATAACATGGTATTAATGAGATGGAAGAAAGCAGAAGAGACAGAAGGGAGTCCCGCCGGAATCCTCAGGGCTCTTGTCCTGAAACTCCTTGAGCAGGACAGCAGTTCAGGTCTGGGTCATTTCTGCAGACAACCCAGCCCTCAGTCTGCACTAACAGACCCAGGGCCAGCAGGGGGCGGCAGCCATCGAGCCTCAACAGGTGCCCAGTCCACCTAGGCCCCACATGGGGAGTCTCTGATGAGCCAGGACAGACCCACCCCCTCCCCCGAATAACACCCAGAGTCACTGGCCCCTCCCAGTCCCTCCCCTGGGCACTTGTCACCCTCAGGTGCTGCCTCAGCCCAAGATGGCCTGGCAGGGTCTCCCTGAAGCTGGCCAGAGGCGAGGGTGGGACTGGTCCCCAGGGCAAGGTCAAGCAGCCAGCTGTTGGGTGGGAGGGCAGGGGGCTATCTTTAAGAAACAGGGGGCCTTGCAGGGTCAAAGGTTAGGAGGCCAAGCCCAGAGCCCAGGGACTGAAGCACAGGTGTGTACACCCCCAGGCACTGCCCCTGCGGTCCCACCACTTCCAGCGGGTGGGCAAGAAACCGGAGCTCACACTTCTCTGGGAGCCTGAGGCCATGGAGCAGGAGCCAGTGCGTCAGGTCAGAACCCAGGGTGGGCCAGCTTTTCCAGAATACCCCTGTGTCCCCATCCACCCCCTGCTTTGGGGAGCCCTCTTCCTGCCTCAGGGGCACACTCCCCAGGCCTCCCCACGTGTCCCTCCCGATCTCCCCCAGCGTTCAGGCTCCCGGGTGGGATTTCAGGCTCTACATGCTGAGGTGGCAACAGCACACCGACACCCCCTCCTTTGGGCCCAACTTTCTGGCACGAGCTTCTCTCCCTTGGAGACACCCACTGTGAGGAGAGGTGGGGGGCTCTGACTATCCCTCTAAAGCAGGGTTTTAGCTTTTGGGGTCCTTTTGAGAATATGATGAAAGTTGTGGACCTCCATCCAAGAAATGTTGTACAACAGTTGTCACCTACAGCATGCTCCCAATGCTTGCCCACACCCCACTTCTTTTTCCCTAACACTGAGGCTCCCAATGCACCATTCACTGCACACTGCTCTGTCCAAGACCTGAAGCCTCAGTCCCTGAGCAGGCTCGTCTTTCTGACGGAGGCCTGGAGAGGCAAGAGCAAGTGGTCCCAGGGGCCCAGCTGGATGGACAGTGGCAGAGCTGGCCTTTGACTGCACGCCCCTCCCCCCGTCCCCCTGGGCTGGCCTCTCATCACGTGCCCGTGTCACCCTGCCCGGCCCTGCCCTGCCCCAGGTCATCACCATCTTCAGCCTGGTGGAGGTAGTGCTGCAGGCGGAGGACGCGGCCCTCAAGTACAGCGCCATCCTGAAGCGGCCGGGCACCGAGGGCCTCCTGGGCCTGCAGGACGAGGAGGAGTGTGACCACGACCAGCAGGAGGACTGAGGCTGCGAGCCTGGCCACACCCCACCCAGCGACGTACCAACCTCCCCCACTGGCTTTTAGGAATAAGACCTTTGCACACCAAAGGGGATTTTTAATTTGGTTTTTAACAACTCAGGGTTTTGTTTTTATTTTTTCCTTTTACTTCATTTTTGCTGCTCAGTTTTTAACGAACTGGAGGGGAGCGGGTGGGGCTGGACGGAAGGCTGGGGCCTGGCCAGTGCTCCTGGGAGGCCAGCCCCACTTCTGCCAGGCCACCACTGCCTTCCCCTGCCCAGGAAGCCAGGGGTTTTCAGCGAATCAGTGTCATGGAATAAAATCAAGTGCGAAGCGCTGCCTGGTGTGTGGGGCACTGCGGGGAGGTCGGGGTGGCAGGGGGCACCTTGGACCCAGGACTAGGGACCTGCCTCAGACTTCACCCCTCACAGGTGAGCTGGGGTCACCACTCTCCAGAACCTTCCTGCCAGTTCCAGGATGATTCACAGAGCTGGCTGCCTGGCAGATTGATGACAGCGCCTCATTCTGGCTGATTAGAAATGTGATTAGTATGCAAGACAGCCTGCTCACCCATCACCCCGCGACAGGCGGCCGTGTCCATCCCTACCCACACCACTTCCTCTCTGGCCGCCAGCCCCATGTGGCCTCAGGAGGGAGAGTGTGGGACCTGTGGCACCCCCTCCCCAGTTCCTAGGCCAAAGCTGAGTGGCCCTCTCCATACCCCTTGGTGGGAGCTAGTGCCTCAGCACCTCTTGTCCCAATCCTGTGCCCTGGCAGCCCTAAGGGAGCACGGAGACAGAGTGAGGGCTGGGCCAGCCAGAGGAGAAGAGGGCCCTCAGATGCGCCTTCCCAACCAGGGAGGGGAAAATGGGCTTCTGGTGGCCCTGGCCTGGCCCAGCGTCATCCTGAGCACCCACTGATCTCATCATCCTCGGGGACCCAGGGACAGAGACGGTGCACCACCAAGTGGTGCTCTCGAGATCCCCATGGCCTGACCTCAGCCTGTGCTCCCAGCTTCCCTGCCAAACTGGGCAGCCAGAGGCGGGTTTCGCCGAGAGCTGCCGGAAACTAGGGTGAGAACCATGGTGCCCAAGCTCCTACCACATCGTTTCCTGGGGTGTTGGTATTGACGAGCTCATGTGACCTGATCACAGAGAATTTTCCTCAAAGAACAATTCAATACAGTACCTTGTAGGAGGGCTGCACAGTCACCAGAGGACTGATAGGGCCTGGCTGCTTTTGTCTGCCCCCGGGCAGCCATGGTCCATCATCCACCGAGCACTGGGCTGGGTGCCAGAGGGGAATGAAGGACACGTAATTGTACCTGCACTGGGTTCCTTTCTCTTCTCCTTCAGCACCTCAGCCAGCCTTCAGTCTGTCTATCCTGCCACCCACAAGATGTCCCAGAGGCCACCATAGCATCTCTGCTTCTGTCCCCATAATTTTCTCCTAGAACCATGTATCTGAAGGGGAAGACAGGTGAGCGTCGGGTGGTTTGGTGTTTGGGTGAGGTTTCTGGGTGCTTCCCTGGCCCGGAGAGCCCTGTCAGTGAGATCCCCAGGGTGAGGCATCTCAACCCTGTGCCCTCCCTCAACAGCGCCACCTCAGAGGAGGAGCTGCCCCTTTCTCCTCTGGCACTGTCCCCAAGGGCCTCCTGCAGAGCCTGGGAGCTGAGGGCAGATCAGAGCCCCCATGGAGTGGTGCCCTCAGGGAGGCGGTGGGTCAGAGCGCAGGGGCTCCCTCTCAGGCAGCATGGACCCAGGCCAGACACCCCTCCTTACTGCCCCAGCACCCACCCAACCCCGCTGGTGAAGCGTAGCTGGTGAAGTCAGCAGGGAAGATCTTTGCTGCCTGAGCCTGCTTGGGAGGCAGAGGCTGGCCTCCCGTTGATGTCCCTAGAGCGATGGGGACCACAGCAGCCCCTGCCCAGCCCACCCCACTTGACAGGCCTGGAAACCACACCCAGAAAGGAGGCAGGTCTCTGCGCAGGTGACAGCAAGTCTGTGCCCAGTCAGGACCAGGGGGTAGGCACCCCCCTAGCAAAGTGCAGAGGCTGGAGAGTGTATTCGCAGTCAAGAAGGGACAGCACCCAGAAGTAGGTGCAGGCAGCGGGCCCCCATGGGTGAAAGCCTGAGGATTGAAGGTCCCTGACACGGCTGTGGAGGTCTGAGGCCACTGAGTCAGAGAGGACGTCCAAGGTGACGCTATTGGTAGGACGGGGTGGGTGACCACGGCACCTGTGTGCCAGCCGGGGAGTTGGCAGTCCATCCTAGGGCAGGGCAGAGCCACGAGGCTTTTATCAGGGCCGAGACATGATACCACCTCTGGTCTCCCTCTCATTTATTCAACAACAGTGAGTGCCTCATGTGCACAGAGGCCTCAGGGAGCAGCCTGGTGGCTGTTTACAGGTCAGGCCCCAAGGCAGGGCTGTGCTTGGTCGGTGGAGGGAACTGGAGGGCAGAGCGTTGGGGTGGAAGGAGCTAGAAGGAGAGCCACGGGGGCTGAGGCGCCGGGCTCAGCTTGGCCTTTCTGGTGACGCTGAGGACTTTCCTGGAAGGGTTTGAGCAGAAGAGAGGACCAGCCAGCGTCCCTGACTGCATGCTGAGAGTAGACGTCGGGGCTCCCATGCCAGCTGGGGCCAAGGGCCAAGGGCCGGGGTGGAGGGCAGAGTGGGCAGGAGCTGCAGGGGTGGTGAGAGGTAGTCCAGTCAGGGGCAGTGGTGAAGGTCCGGCTAACAGGATTTGCCGAAGGAGTGGGTGTGGGTGTGACAGGAGGGGTGAAATGCGGCAGAGCCGGTGTTGGGCGGGGTGTCCTGGGCACACAGCCCGGGTTTAAAGCCTGGGGGGACTCAGAGGACTGACCGTCTGAGGTCAGGAAGATGAGAAGGACGAGCCCAGGGGGTGGGGTCCTGAGGCTTCAGGAAGATTCCTGTCTCTTCACTGCAATGGAAAGAAGCCCCACATGAAGTGGCTTTAGGAGGAAGGGAGTTGATTGGAAGGCTCCTGGGTCGTATTTGAACTAGCAGAAAAGTCCAGAGCACGGGGGCTCCTCCAGGTCACCTGGGGCCCAGAAATCCAGTGCCTGCATGGCTCTCTGTCTCCCTTCTGTTCTGCTGCTTCCTCTCCTCCTGGTGTAGACGGCTCTGGAAACGTGAATTTCTGTATCTTGCAACCTGCCCTGCTGGAGAGAGTGTGACACTCCTTCCCAGTTCTAGCCAGTAGAGAATGGAGCTGATGCCCACCTGCAGCCCCAGGAGAGCGATGTCATGGTGCAGAAGGGTCTCCTAGGGACCTGTGTGCTTGGGAGGGATGGGCAAGAAGCCGGGGAGCAGGTCTCAGAAAGATGAGACCATGGGGGAGACAGCCCCAGATGCCCCCTGCAGCTGCTCTGACTCCAGAGCAGTGATGGGCCACCAGGCAGGAGGCTGGAGGCCAGGTGGGAGGGGCTGTGAGAGGAAAGCCTGAGAGAAGGAGCAGATGCCAGGTGTCCAGACAGACCTGACACAGCTGGGTACTGAAGTCATGGACAAGCATGGGCTCCCGACAGAGGAGCAGTGAGGACAGCCCTGGGGGAGTGGGTGTGGAAAGGATGGGGTCAGAGAATGGAGGTCAGAGAATGAGGCCGAGTCGTGCAGTGGGGTCAGGAGAGTGTCGATGCTCAGCAAGGGGTGGGAAGCAGCTGCCTTCACAACAGCAGAGACGTGGAAACACCCGAAGTGTCCGTCAGCACATGAATGGATGGAGAAGATGTGGTGCATGGATAGAATGGAAGAAGGAAATCCTGCCATTTGTGACATGGAGGGACCTGGAGGACACTACGGTAAGTGAAATAAGCCAGGCTCAGAAAGACAAATGCTGCGTGTTCTCGCTTTGTGGAATCTAAAATCAAAGAGCGTAGAATGGTGGTTTCCAGGGGTTGAGCAGGGAAGAAAGAATGGGGAGATGGTGAAAGTATGAAGTTTCACTTAGGGGCTGAGTGAGTTCTGGGGGTCCGACATGCAGCCTGGGGGCTGTGGTTGATACTGTGTTGTATACTTGAAATTTGCTAAGCGGGTAGATCTTAAGCGTTCTCACCACAAAAAGAAGATAGTAACCCTGAGGTGGTGGCTGTGTTCCTTGATGGTGGTGATCATTTCACAGTGTATACGTATATGAACACCTTCAAGACCAACAATTCCTGTTTGTCAGTTATACCTCAGTGAAGCTGATAATTAATAGAAATGGAGTCCGTGCCCTCCCCTTGAATCTGGACAAGCCTCTGTGGCTGCTAATAGGCAGAAATGTGGCAGAAGTGACACTGAGCCAGTGTCCAGGCCTGGCCCTAAGAAACTGGCAGCTCCTTCCTGTCTCTTGGAGTCCAGCTGCCATGTGGTGAGGAAGCTCAGCGACGCCATGGAGGAGCCCCATGGAGAGGACCCAGCTTGTCATCCGTGTGCCCGAGCCATCCTGGAAGGGGGTCCCTCGGCTCCCATCCAGCCACCCCAGCTGAGGCCACACAGAGCAGACACAAGCTGTCCCCGTCCAGCCCTGCCCAAATGGCAGTTTGGACCAAATGAACAATTGTTTAAGGTTGTTTGGGGATGGTTCGTTACACACATAGATCCCAAGAACAGATCATCGATAGAACAGATCAATAGATAGAGTTTATAGTTGACAAAGGAAGAAGTATGTAACTTAGAAACTGGTAACTATCAAAATAAAACGCCAAGGGAGGGGAAAGTGGTTGCCTCTGAGATGCACAAAGGCAGAGAGGGAGAGAGGAAACTGCTGGTTTTGTTTTGCTGTGACAAACCTCGTGGATCTATGTGCTACTTTAAACTACATTCATGTACAAGTTGGACAAAAAGAAAAACCGAAGTTAGAACCCGCAACTTAGGAGGAACGGATCTACAGTTGGTTTAAAAGGCAGCTTGTACATTCAGCAGCAGGCGTATTAAAGAGTCCGTTACTCCAGAAACAGAAAATTCCTGCTGACGGGCACCCTGATACTCGCCCTCTGTTAAAATGCCGCCTGCGGTCTTCTCCTTACAGACTCGGTAGCAGTCTCAGGGTGACAAGTCCTGGTGCTTCAGTGGAGCCCCCAGGGGCCATGTTTCTTCTGTGTCTGGGCCATGGCCTGGAGTCCAGGCTGAGGGCTTACTCCCTGGGCAGCTGGCCAGCCAGGAAGCAGCCGCCCGACCTGGGGAAGGGCCGGACTGCAGATGAGGCTGCCTCCAGCTGTGGCGGCTGTGCAGGAGGGCTGTGCCTCGGGCCCTTGCTGGGCCTGGACCACAGAGGCATTCAGGGGCTGGAGTCACAGACTTCAGGGTCATTGGAGTTGGGAGCGGGGAGAGTACTG